CCCTCGGGCAGTTTCTCTGTAAGAGACACAGCCAGGCCCACGACTGGACTCTCCTCTTCAGTCTCACACAGACTGCACTGGCCGCGTGGTCTTGCTGTGTGTGGTCAGAAGCTTCCTTTCTCCCCACGTACATTCCTGGGTGCTGCACCCCTGGGATACCTGGAACAGCAGACACTGCCCAAGTCTGACTGGGAAGGCGCATGTGTACACGCAGAAGTGACACGACTCAGGCTAACGCCAGTCCACGTCAGCACTGTTTTCTTAGGGGTTTTAGTGGGTGAAGTTGGACACGTGATTGGGTCAACAAATGCTCAGCAGTTGTCTGATCTGTGACACGCACTGTCCTAGAAAGTGGGGCACGGGTGGGGCCAGCTCTTGAGATCGGTCACATTAGGAGTCCCAGCTTATACCAGGGAGTATACTGTGACACTTGGAGTGAGAGAGGACACGCAGGCACCCAGCCCAGCCTGGGACAAGCCCAGGAAAGGTGTCTACCCAAGGGGCTGGTCGGTGGCAGGATGAACAGGAGATTGCAGTGTAGGTAGGAAGCATGGGAATTTCTGGGAAGAGGGAGCAGCGTGGATAAAGAGCCAGGCTGAGACATGCAAAAGCCAGGCCTGTTCCGAGATCCCCAAGACTTTCCCTCCTCCAGATGGAGGGAGAAGCAGGCAGTGACAAGAGAGTGCAGAGAGGTGTTCCGGTGAGGGTGGCTGAAAGCAAGGATGTGGGAGTGGGATGGGGATGGATGGTGCTGCCTGGAGAAAGCATGTGGGGGAGGAAGAGGACTAAACCAGGACCCTTGAACGATTGAAGGGAAGGAGGGGGAGGAGGAGAGAGAGAACCAGGTGAAGGTGGGGCGAGGTGCAGGGTGTGGTCAGTCAGATAAAAGCCAGGCTCGGAGAGGCAAGCAAGTTTTGGCTAGTGGGCTAAGGAGCCAGGAACCCCAGCTTTGCTTCCTAAGTCCTGTGTGCCTTAGAATTTCCCCAAGACTGCTGACCTAGAGCAGGGCCCAGCCCCCTGGCCATGGACTAGTGCTGGTCTGCAACTTGTTGGGCTGCCCACCACCGACCTGGACCGTGCAGTGAAGGGTGTGCCACGGGGAGCAGGCCAGGCTCATCTGTGTTTGCTGCGCCCGGCTTCCCTGCCGTCCTGCCAGGTCAGCAGCGGTACTGGGTCCTCACCGGAGCATGTGCCCTGTGGAGTGACTGTTCCGCAGTGTGTGGCGGGGGTGAGAATGGGGTGCGTGGTACAGTGGTGCACTCGGGACCTCCCGAGACCAACACCTGCCATCCCGGTCTGTGGAGGGACTGTCTTCCACGAAGCTGGTGCCTGGAAGTTTAGGGACCACTGAGGCAGGTCCATGGCAGGTCATTTCAATAGGAATTAAGGGGTCTGCACACAGCCAGTGCTGAGCAGTTGGCGGTTGTAGCATCGTTCACTGCTACAGTCGCACCAGCCCTGGCCTCAGTTGTATGTTGTACTTTCCTACAGACAGGCAAGCTTTTAAAGTTGTAAACTGGATCTTGTCCCGTCTCTGTTTGAATGGCCTTCAGGATAAGGGTGGAATTCCCGCTGGCCCCCAGGGCCCTCGCCTCCAGGATCATCCTCATCCCCTCCCTGGCCTTCCAGGCCTTCCTGCTGCCCCATGTCCGAGGGCCTCACGCGCCCACCTCTGTGCTCTCTGTGCACCTCTCTGGCCCCGCCCATCCTGAGGTCCTGCCTGGTTGCCACTTCCCCAGGAAGCCTTCCAGAAGCCCCCTCCTGCCCGGGCCTCCATGCCCTCCAGTCACCTTGCTTTCTGCATGTTTGTGTCGTTCTGTAGACATTGCCATGACCCTCTGTCTGGCCCACCAGCACTGCGTTCCCTTGTTCTGTGTGTGGTGACGTGTGTTTGAACAGCCACTGGCAAGGCTTGCCCCAGCTTCTCTGACTCCTGGCTGGGCCTCTGCCATCATCCAGCTAAATTCCTGCTAATGCCCCTGCTCTGGGAGTTTTCCAGGATACCTCCAGCCTCTGGAGTAGCCACCACACTGCACAGGTCACTCTGTATCCTTAGCTTGGGTGGGTGCACCTCGTTAGGGCCTGTGAGGCTTAGGGACCTTAGGTCTCAGCCAGCAGTGGCATGGCGGTTAAGGGCAGGCAGACCTCCGGTGGCCCACTGTGTGACTCCAGTTCCAGACCCGGTGCCTTGAAGACATGCCAGCACTGTGTGCCTGTATGCCCTAAACCCCAACGGGAGGGGAGGAGGGAGAAAGAGAGGAGAAGGGATTGCAGCCTGACCATGCCCCATGGGGAGGCTCGGTGCTTTCTCAGGTTCCCTCTTCGTCCGTCTCTGTCTCACGTGCCCGCTAGCAAGTTCACAGAAGGGGAGGAGGGAGGGAATAAATCCTAGATCTGGTGGCCCGTAGGCACAGTTCTTCCCGGCTCACTGTACTGTGGGTGCAGCGGTACCTCCCCAGGGCCAGCCGTGTGGCTGTGAGGTTGTTGTGGTCACCCGGGGCTGCATTCGGGCCTTGGCTGCACGCTGTGCTCCCCGCATCGTGACACTCTGCGTCATATGTGAACAGGCCCACACCTGCCTCAGGGCGCAGAGAGGAGCTATACGAGGATGCAGGGCATCTGTATCCTCTGGGGCCTGGCACATGGTGACACTCACTGCAGGTCCCTGTCATCATCTAGTTCTGCCCGACCACAACCACGGACGGTAATTCATTCTTCTGTGCGCAAGGCTTCGTGGTCAGAGGTGTTGATCACTGCTTAAACCCTCTGCAGCTGCTGCTCACCCCCTTGGGGTTCCCAAACCTGGCCAGCCTTCAGATTCACTGCTGGGCTTGTTAAAGATAGATTTTAGGGGACCAGCAGATGCCATAATGGTTACGTTGCCGGACTCCCATGAGGTCGACCATGGTTTGAGTCCCAGACTCAGCACCTTAAAATTCAATGCCAGGCGTGTGTCCATTGGTGACCAAGATCCCGAGGGGAGGGCGGAGGAGGAGGGATTGTACGATTCTACTTGTGTGGCCATTCCCTGGGGGGTGATTTCTCGCTGTCTGTCTCTCTGTCTCTCTGGTGATCGCATGCGCCCTACAGCAAAACTCTCTAAAAAAAAAACAAAAACAAAACCTATCTAAAAAAATGGAGACTGTGGAAAGAGGGTGGGAGAAGTGAAGTGAAGGCTATAGGGAAGGAAATCAGGGAGAATAAATAGACAAGACATTTGTGGGACACAGAAATGGTTCATTACCTGTTAATGATAGCATGTATAGTATTTTCAACTGGAGATACTGAGTTGTATTTCATGATGAGTAAATTTTCTTTACATGCCAAATAATGTATAGTGATCGAATGTTTAAAAAAATAATAAAATAATTTAAAAAATATAAACAGTAAGCACAGCAACTAAAAGAACACACAAAGATCTCGGGGGGCATAGAGTGGTACGGCAGTAAAACGACACTCTGAGGCCCACCCACCCGGGAAGGTTCCAAGTTCAGCCCCAGAGGCTTCTCTTAGTACTCTAACCATGTGTGTACTCATGACCCGAGCCTAGGAGAGGAATTTGAGTGTCAGATCCTGCTGGGATTGCTGGTGCTGTATCTCTCACTCATGGGAAAAATAAACTTTTGGAAAAAAGTGGATTTGGTGGTTGCACCCGAACAGGTCCACTGAACCAGACCCCACGGGGTCAGGGCCCGTGAGTCTCCACTATCGGCAAGTTCTCAGGGGACTCCAGTACCTGGAACAAAGTTTGGGAACCTTCATCCTCATGGATAAAAACCCAAACCTCTTGCTGTGGCATTTGGTGTCTCTTCCAATCTGGCCCCAGCCTACCTTTCTGGTAGACCCTGGCCCTAAAGCGTTGGCTTCCCTGAGACCCAGCGATTCCTTTCACTCCTATCCCCTGAGTGTCGGGGAGCCCTGCTCCTTGAGCAGGAAACGTCCCTGCCTTTCCTGCTCCTCCAGCACCCAGTTTCATTTTCTCCGAGCACACATCCCAGGACACTGTGACTTGTTCTTGCACCTTTCTCCCTGGAAGCCTGGGAGCTCCTCGGGGAGCTCTCTTGTCCGTGGCTAGACCATTGTAGTGCTGTGTGACCAGGTGTCCTCCAATTGGCAGCGTCTTCATGGGATAAAGGCGCCCCCCACCAGCCTCTGCCCTGTTGGAAATGATGAGGTACAGCCGAAGCCCAGGCTGCTGGGCATTGCGAGCCAATCCAGGCAGCCCCCCAGAGGAGGAGGTGGCGACAGCAGTGGTGGTGTTTTCCCCCAGACCTGTTGGGGTTTTGTTTATTTATTTTTCCTATTTTAATCTTTCTTTTTCAACATTAGCTAAAGAGAGCTGACATCCATGCCAAGAAGCTTATTTACTTTTGACTAAATCCCCCTTACACTGTGTGTTCATAGTGAGCTTTCATGACCAACGCCGGAGCCGTAAAAGCATTAGATCACTCCATGGCGCTTTCCTAAGCAGGTACTCTGTGCACCTCCGGGGCGAGCACCCTGACATAGCAGTTCAAGGCCGCGTGCCTCTGATGTCGGAGGTCGGAGGTCGTTGGTTGCCTTTATTCACATGATGACGGCAGTACCCTCCGCTTACCGGCGATCCCCAGCAGCCGGGCAGGATGGGGGTGAAAGCTCTCAGGTGGATCATGGAACAAACTCGTGTTCAGAGCCTGGTGTCTTGGTTCTGTTGGTGTATGTTGCACAGTGGGCAGCAATCTGACCAAACTGCCCACATTGGAGCCCCTCGGTCACGCCTTGAGGCTTGGGAGACCCTTTTTTCCTCTTCGATGTCCTCCCAGTCTGGAACAGGGGGCTGCTGATGTCCGGGAAACTTCATGTTCCTCGGGAGCACCCGAGGCTGCTGGGGTCAAGGTGGAGCTGGCCAGGGGCGCCTGCTCTTCCTGCTCCGAGCTGCGGCTCTGCAGATGGCCCCAGGTGCTCCCAGGGGGTAGGGGACTGCCCTGCACTCATGCCTTCTCTCTCCCTCTCCCTCTCAGGCACATCTCTCTAACGCTCCCTGCCACCTTCCGAGGCAGAAACAGCACCCGGACGGACTACGAGTACCAGCACTCCAATCTGTATGCCATCTCAGGTACGCGGGGGCCGCTGCTGCAGGCCAGCCCAGTTCTGCGCCAACCCCTCCTGGGCCAAGTCTGAAGTCTGTTTTTAGGGGCATCTGTCTGTCTTACCTCTCTTTGTCTCCCTGCAAGGGGCCTGTTCCCAGCAGGAACTGGGCCTTCCCTTCCCTTTGTGTCACCCTAGCACTTGGAGAAGACCAAATACTCAGCATGTTTTGAAACTAATGATGAAAAACAATGTGTGGATTTCATGAGCTTGAAGGGAGGTTTCCAGAGAATACTCACCACATTGTTCACCTGCCAGACCCCGGGCAGGGTTCCCACGGGGCCCGGGCAGCGCAGAGCCGAGCCGGGTCAGCCCGCCCTCCCATAGCCAAGGCTGTCCTCACCTCTCATTTCTCATAGCCAGGTTGTGGCCAGAGGGTACACTGGCGGTCTCCCCCCTCACACCCTCGAGGTATGAGTCTGTGATTTCTGAACTCGGCCTTGAAATTGATAGTGTTACCTTGGCAGGAACTTCATCAGTCCTAGTTTTCCTTTTCACCTTCGCCTAGGGAGGGGAAAACCTACATGCCTGATTACAGAATCGAGATTCATTAGGTGCTTGGCAGTGCAGGGGACTTGCTAAGCGCCGAGGAAACCCACAAACTCGCCTCCCATTATCCTGGGCCGCCACTCAGGGGTGTTTGTGTGTGCGGGGGAAGCAGTAAACCGGTGCCACTTACCAGCATGCACCCTTAATGGTGAGTGACGTTTGGAACACGGGAACATGGCATTCATTCATGTACCATAATGAATCGGTTATTTAAAAAGTAATCTTTTTTTTTTCTAAAAAATTGCAACTTCAGGTTACTAAATAGATGAAATAGAACAATGGCATAATTCTTGTCAGTATTAGTTTTTCTCGTTATGATCACTCCCTAATAGATTTGGAAGTATAAGCAAAAGCCACTTGTTCCATTTCTGGGCGACACTCCTGCTGGGAAGGGAAGAAACGGGGGTGTTCTTAACCCCCATCCCTGGCTGCACTCCAGGAGCCAGACTCCCCAAGGGGAGAGGGAGCATGTTTGTCTAAGAAAAGCATCTCCAGGGAGAATCTCTTTCGTGCTGTGGCCATTTCAGCAGAGTCGACAAGAAGCATAACAAGTGTGGAAAGATGACCTATTTTGTAGAAGAGCTGAATATTTCCCCAGATGCTTAGTGGCAGAGTGGTGCAAAACAGGCCGCTGAAACCCAGCAGGGCAAGCCTGTTGAGAATGCACCCGAGCAGAGCTCCATCAAACAGAGGACTCTCCTGCAGCTTGCAAATCCCTTTCAGGCCAGTGTGCAGCTACTCCTACCTGCCTGCATCCTCTGATGGCCTTCCCAGCTGTTGGCCTTTCTGCAGAAAAGAGCCCGCAGCGGGAACTCCTCTGGTTTGGCAGGGCTGTTGCTGTCTGCCTCTGGACCGCTGCTTCCTCACCCTGCAGCTTTGACGAGGTGTTGTCTGGGTTCATTTCAGCTGTTAGTTTAGCAATATCAAGGTAACAGCCTCAAGACACAGGGGAAACCGTTCCGAAACTTCCTGTTACATTTATGGAAGTGGCAGTCAGTTGGATTTTATCTTCCAAACAGAGGTTGCTGAGGCTGCAGCCCCCGGCAGCAAGCAGCTCAGGCCTCCTCGGCGGCTGCAGGCACCAAATGGCTCTGCCCGGGTCCAGGACCGCGGAGCAGCCAGGCTGCCAGACATCCCCCGCAGGACCCACTGGCTCCATCCAGCCTGCAAGCTCAGCATTGGGCAACGATGGTGCAACTGGGAAGCTTGCCCACCCACCCGCCGGCAGGCTGCCTGCACGGCTTTCTGGCGAGGAGGAAGCAGAGACCACCCCCTCACCTCGGTATGAACAGTATCTGGCGCTGAGTGGCACATCTCAGGCTGGCATCCTGAAGTTAGTTTCCGATGGCTTATTCCAAAAACAGTTAAGGCAAAGTGTGCCCCAGGCCCTAGCCCTTGCCCGGCCCCGATGCCTTGATAGCTGGAGTTCTGCTGATAATGAAATGAATCGTCACACTGTTCTTCCAAACCGGCGCTGGCGCGTGGTCGCTGAGACCCCAGGGGCCAAGCCTCTGGTGCAGACTCCTGGCATGATCTTCCACGTGGTTGCAAAGACACCAATTCCTCCTCCCTTAGTCTGTGGTTCCTCCCTAAGACAAGTAGAATTCAAACAATGGAACAGGAAAGTTGAAAAGCAGCCCACATTTAATGTGTCTGTCCTGTCGTTAAAGTATATTTACTCTGCGATGTTTTCTCTGTGACACGCCTGTTAATATGTCCTCTGTCCAGTACCACCCACTAAGACCTCACTCCCACCATGCCTGCAGGGGGAGAGGGACTGCTCAGAGCTGGTAGAGACTCCAGAGGAGACAATATGAAGCCCTGTCGCAGGCACACGGAGCATTGTGAATTGTTAATGGAGGCACAGAAACGAGGGCAGAAAGCAGTTAGCCCAGCATCTGCCTTGCACAGGAGGGCCCTCTTAGACCCCTGGGGCAGGTAGTCATCCTGATCTGTTGTTTGAACTTACCAGCATCTGGGCTCACCACATCCGGCAAGCTCATTCGCACTCCAGGAGGCCCTCCCTCACTAGCTGGCTCTTGTCTTCCTGTACGTCCATGTCTACCCAGCGATTCAGGGTGCTGTGCGTGTCCTCGGCCCAAATCCACCTGCTGTTCTACAGTCAGGATTTCTCACTTCCGCACTCCTAGGCTCTTTGCTAAAGTCCTGAGATGCTGCGTCTCTGGCTCTGCCATCTTGTGCTCTAATCGAAATGTCCATAAAGCAAACCTCTGCTCCTCACACTTCCCCTTCTGGAATTTCTTCTAGAAAATACTTAGGGCGTATTCAAAAAGATTTATCCACAAAGAAGAGCGCTGCTACTTCTTAAAAATAATACTCAAGGGACCAGCAGAATGGCATGGTGATTAAGGCACTGGACTCCCACATGGCTGACCACGGTTCAAATCCTGGACGTGGCTGCTTGCTTTCCCATTTTCCCTCTCTCTTTCTCTCTGGTGAACACACATGCCCTATAACAAATTAAAAATAATAATGATAATAAATAAAAGTAAAATTAATAATGCCAAGAAATAAAAATATAATAATACTCAAAACAGAGACAGGAGGTGGGCATGTCTTAACTTCTCCAAACAAAGCACCCACTTAAATTATGTGTGCTACTTTCCGATACTGACGGTTCATGGGTTAGTGAACTTTTCAGCCATCAAGAAAACAATGATGTAGATGAAAATATTGTTAAGTGGGAGGAAGAAACAGGATACACAGAAAGTGTGTCCCAGATGGTAGCATCCTACTTTTCCCCTAAGAGTTCTGTTAGATATCTGAGCACTCCTTTCTGTTTCATCTAGTCCACTAGGATTCAAGGTGGCTCCGTCGCTGCATAGATACAGTGAAGTAAACATGGCGTGAGGGCAAATGAAAAGTGCTTTAAAAAGTAGGGCACAGCTAACTGTATGCAAAGATTTTGGTGCAAAAAAAAATGTTTGCCACAAAATATACTTACACTTTAATGCCATTTTCCACAACTTTTTGAAGTCCCCTCATGGATAAGAGTAAACGCAGCCAGGCAGCCCTCATTTGATATCTGTCTCTTTAAGGGAAACCCTCTACAGACCTTAAAGAGTGGAGTAGCACTCTGATTCTGGGTTTAGTTCGCAATCAGAGGACAGTCTCCATATGGATGGATCAAACAAGCTAATCGCTCAGGGAGAACCTGAGCCCAGAGAGGACCCTTCCTGATACCGACGGCCCGTGGGTCAGTGGTGACCTCCGGGAACGCAGGCTTGGGAACCTGAACAAAACGAATAGAAAATCCCTGCTGTGGAAATGCAGGTTTTCGTTTTCAGGGAAACCGATTTCTTTAGTTCTGCACTTTTCCACATTCCATTCCATGAGTATTGATCTTGCGGATACATATTAAAATGAGCGACTGTCTCGGACAACTCTGTGAGTGTGAACCAGATACAAATATTCACAACCTGGGGGACAGAAGGCGGCCAGTGCACTGTCGCGATGGACCCAGCAGCTGCTTCTCAGCGATCGGAACTGTGAGTTTGAGCCCAGCAGCCTGTTTGCCCACCCAGTAGGGCAGAGAGTGGAGATCACTCCCATCTGAAATGAGACCCTAAAATGTCAGAGTTGAGTGAGGTGTTGGTTTCTTAAGAAATGTTTCGTGGCAAGTGCCATGTACCTGAGGGGATTCGAGACCTAGGGGTATTAGGAAGGACAGAGGTTCCCAACCTCCTGCCCAAACCAGAGGCACCGCCTCTGGCCGAGTCACCCTGTGAAGAGGTTGGACTAGGAGGAGCTCGGCGCCGCCCCGCTAACCTAGGGACGTTTCTCATCAGGCCACGGCAACTCTTGCTTAACGAACAGGTGACCATAAGTCTGGGAAGCCTACTGTGCTGTTCCTTTGCTGTGGTTGTGAACCAACGTACATCTCTTAAATTTGAGGTTTTATCAAAGAAAACTTATCTTTCTCCTATTTAGGAAAAAAAAAGATACACTAGTTCAAAATAGAAAAATTAAACAAATGCATATTTAGTTGGCATGTAATAAAACCCCAAAGTCTCCAACACCCCCGTGAGTTCAGGAAGCTTCGCTGGGCAGTGAGCAGTGGGTAGAATTCCTTTCCCCTTGGTGCATGGAAGTGTCCTTGTTGATGGGTTCATCAGGTTGACCTTATACAAAAGCAAGTGGGGCCCGCAGTTGTACTAGGGCCAGGGCCATCACCAGGATCAGTCCTGGCAGGCTGGGCTGAATTGACCACACTGCCTTTAGCTGTTTTGGGTTTTATTTTTCCAGTTTTCCTTTTGATTGCTGGAAAATCCAGTTTATTGCCCTCCACAGCTGTTCCCTCTTACAAACCAGTTCCCTTTCAAGCTGTTGGACACCAGGACGGATGTGAGCGTGGTCAGGGCCGAGCCCATCGCCTCGTCAGTACAGAGAGGAGGAGGA